CAGTGATCTAACTATTGACGCGTCCCAGCCCCGCTATCTAGAAGGAGAAGTCCAGGCTTGGTATGGAAAATATATTCTGCAAACAGCCAGGAAACGAGCGAGCAAGCAAACACAATTTTATATATATATATATATATATATATATATATATATATATATATATATATATATATATATATATATATATATTCGATATTGTCATAGAAAATTTTTAAACACTAGCGCAATACATTTCGAACAATCTGGTCACACATATACTTGTTAAGAGCATTTATATATAAAAAATAAAAGGTCAACTAGACAGGAAACAGGGTAAGAGGAGATAAGGATAATGATAAGAGTAATAACAATAATAATAATAATAATAATAATAATAATAATAATAATAATGTGAACACAATTTGAAACCTAATCACTCTGGATAACAAATCCTTATCTCCTCTTACCCCGTTTCCTGTCTAGTTGACCTTTTATTTTTTATATATAAATGCTCTTAACAAGTATATGTGTGACCAGATTGTTCGAAATGTATTGCGCTAATATATCACATAGTTCTGATAATCTTCGTCTTCTAATATCATTATCGAAATTTATCAAAGGGACTAATTGTTTTAAACACTAACCAATGAGTTCATAAATTGACCTATTTGCCCATTGAATCGATAGTTCATCTATTGACTGCTATTCAAATATTTAATCGATCAGTTCATCAATTGACCCCAATACAAATATTTAAACATTTAATCAATAAGTTGATCGATGCGAGAAAATTTAAAAATATGAGTTTGGGGATCTATCGTCTCCAACACTTAATAATTATTCTGAAAATTCACTTGATCTATTTATTAACTAATATATTAAGGTTTATAAGCAAAGATGGATGGTGGATAGCAGTGGAATCCAGGACGTGCATTTCGTTCTATTTGGGACTCGTCACCTGGATGTACCTGCATCTCAGAGTTGATGTTCACTTTGCGACTCGGACACAGTACTGCAAGCTTCAAACTCCATCGCGTTATCCATTTAGCTAATGAGTCCTGATAGCTACTTGCTTGTGTAATGAGTTCCAGAGTGAACATCAACTCTCTGAGATGCAGATAGATCCAGATGACTAGTACCAAATAGGACGAAACGCGCGTTCGGGATTCCACTGCTATACTCTATCCATCTTTGCATATAAAGCTTACGACGTAAAGCTATATCAAGACAGTTCGCACAATATGCACATATGCCAACAAGAGACTAGTCAATTTCAGACCTAAACAACAATGGGAAGATACAAACAAACAACACTAAGTGAATTTAATACAGAAAGGATTAGCATTTATTTTGTGTTTTATCAATGTTAACCAATTATATACTGCATCATTTAAATTTAATCTAGTCTGATAAATTGTATTATGCAAATAGATTCGGTGAAAATGTAATATATATATATTAAACATTAAATACTCTCATACAGGCTGCACTGAGTAAATACTAATAATCCTTGATGCTATCTTGTATAGGTTTACATTTCTTATTAGTCCCTAAACTAAGAACCAATCAACATCAAGGTCTACAAAACAAGCTGTGAGCTATATGTGGAGAAATTCAACTACTTCACTTCTATCTGAAGTTTATGGTGATGATATCACCTAAAAGAACAATGAATGCTCCACGATTAAACCCTTCAATTCAGAGAATAAAACTTCATCACTGTTTTCATTTTGTTAGTTTTCTTTCACTGATATTCACAAATGGTAAAAAACAAACTATCTTCATATATTAAATGATTATTTAAAGTACAAATAAGTAAACTTCATCTTTCATTTTATATTACCTAATAAGAAAAACGTTTTGTTTTGCTTGTTAAAATAGGGACTAGTAACAACCATGAATTAGCATATTAGTTAGTTACTTAGATATTCAATGAAAATATTTTTGTATGATAATATTCCGAAAAAAAGTTGTTTCACTGACATTAGAGAAAGTCAAATAAGCTTTTAATGTTCTTCTCATTTATTTATTTGTATTATTACTGATATTTGTTATGTCAAGGATTACACTTTATCTACTATTGTAGTGAACAAGAACACCACATTGGGACTATCGAATGTATCTTGCACAAACTTACAGAGTTACTTCATAAAATAGAAAACCACTACAGTAAATCGTTAATTTGCAAAATATTAATCTATCATATCAAACCGGACTATTCCTGTTGCAAACACCAATCTATTATCTCATATTTCATTGTTCATGCGTTTTCTTACAAACTGCATTATGTTCCCGCTCTTCCTTTCTTGATCTTCTTCCATCTTCTGCTGCCAGATATTACGTTTCTAACTCGCATCATATACTACTTATATCAATATAAGTAGCACGCATCACACCATTACTTCATATAGCTGATAAATAAACTGTTAACATCATTCCCTATTATTATTACTATTATTGTTATTATTATACTCTAGACGAAGGAAATTCAATGATTTGCTTTTGTTTCTAAGTACCAATATATATATGAAAGTGTTCTCATTTTAGATATAATTACAAAATTGTAATGATTTATACTATTTTGTTAAGTGTATTTTATCTTTCCTTGTAATTCTGTAGTATTACGAAAATTGAAATTGATGCATGATTATGTTGTGTCAAGTTTAGATCATTGTTTAAAGATTTTCTCTATTTTCATGATACATTTAAAAGTTAAATGTTTTGTCAGTAAATATAATACTTTATTAAATCATAGTAATCCTTATTCAATGGGTATATGATATAACACTCATACACTGTGAATAATAGTTTATTTTTAAAGAAAATACATTTTCTGAAAGTAGAATTATTAACTGCTTAACATTATTTTGAGAATGGTTCAAAAGATCGAAGGATTAGATTAGATCTAAATCTTAATAGTTTATAATCATAACTTAGTGCAGGAATGGATCTGTGACCTTCACATCTCACAATGAGCACAATGCTATTCATTTATATACAAGTAGTCAATACTTTTAGTTCCAAAGGATTGTGAATGGTTTGACGGTCTCCATAGAGGTACATAAATACACTCAGAGGGAATTCTCACTCACAAACTTATTCTATGTAAAACTATTTATTTGTCAATTATATAAGTAGATTAACTAATCTCATTCAGTCAATTATTCGAAAATTTTCCATTATATTAGAGTCTATAATAAAAAACTGAGGGAACATGGAAGTCAAACAAATATTTACACAGATAAAATGTGTCAGTGAATAAGATATAGGTATCTAAATGACTGAATTTCGGATGATTAAGAGGCTGCTACACTACTCTTTCATTATTTTGTCCAGAATGCAGTCAGAGAAGTTGAAAACAGTGATAAGAAACAAGCAATGATATATATATATATATATATATATATATATATATATATATATATATATATATATCTTTTATAGATCTTGGGGTTTTATTTAGTCGAATTATTTCTGCATTGAAACTTAGTTCTATAACCCCATCTGAAACATTATAGAAACTTTCTGTCAACTCTTCTGGCACTTGAGAAATGCTCTGGTACGGCAGATGATGGGAAGAGTCCGCTCTCCCTCTTAAAACACTGTCACATAAATACGCGTATACAGCTACTGACAGGGCAGTCCTACTCAGTACCTTTTCGCAGTCGGGGTGTTATTTACGAAATTGAAGGGACTTAAAGCGAATGTCCTACGTTCTAACAAGTTTGGTGGATATGGAGTGCCCACCTAGGAGAGTTGGAAAATCCTGATCCTAAACTAATGGCAGATATGAGTTCCAGGATGACGTATGAACCTATTGTTGGTCACCGGCTAGCGTGGGACAGCATCTCTTGACATTGTTCCACTGCCTAATCAATTAGACCTACAGGTCAAAGGCTCCGGGTGTGCCCCTCTAAGAGAACCATCTACTTCACTTTGGTCGCACGGGCAGTATCACAGTTCTCGCCCAAATAAAAAAACTACTACAAGCCTCATTGTTGTTGTGTGATGCATATGTGTTCAGACAAATAAAAAAACTTGAGAAATAAAACTTACTGGTTCTTTAAGTTGACCAACTGATACTTAATAACTACCGTAATATATTCTCTTAACATATATATTGTAGTTACAGTTTAAGATATATAGTGAACCGATAAATAACCATTTACCCTATATTACTAATAAACCAGTGTATATATTCCAACATATAGATTACTTTAAAACAAATAATAATAAAAACTCCAATTTTGTTTAGCTTATCTATTTCATTTATTTTTTTTTTTGAAAAGAAACAAAACAAAACAAATTTTACGTCCTTACAAAAAATGTCTAGGCTACAAATTTTTGTCTCCCTGTCTCTATCTCTCTCTATCCCTCCCCCACTCTCTCTCTCCCTTTACACATATATATATATATATCTCCGTCATCATTTTTTTTGTTGGTTACTCATATACATACACAAATCATACAACATAACATTAGATTGAACATAAAAATAAAGATGAAAAATAAAAGACATATATCTACTATCTCCACAATACCCTTTATAACACATATCTAATATATTGAGAAATGTTTACAATTCTACAATTCATAAACACAATAAACAGAATAAACTATATATACTGTTTATTATATCATTTTTGTAAACATATTTCCATAATAAATAAAAAAAACAAACAGAATAAGTAAACATATATCATATACTATATACATATAATAGAACAACTATTCATTCATTCTATTATCATTATTACTATCAAACTATTGTCATGAATATGCTTAGTAATAAAATGTATGAAGATAGTCTATTGATTGAAAGCAACAATAATCCTACTCGAAAATATAAAACAGGAAAGAATTCATTATTAAAACAATGTTTCTCTAAATGTTTTATTCTAAAAAAATTACGTAATCATATTCATTTTATTTATGATACAATGAAATGGAGAAAATATTTCATTAAATTAATTTATTTTATTAGTTTCTATATTATTATTTGTATTTTATTTATCATTTATATGTATAGTTTATTTTATTTTACAATCTTAGCTGATTATCCTAAATTAACTGGATTACATAATCAATTAAAATTGAATCCAGGTTTATCTATAATACCAAATTCAAATTATTTAACAAGTCTTATACATTTTTATACATCAAATCCTGTATCTTATTCATCTATGATAGATGAAATGACTGGATTTTTATCTTATTATCAATATCATATTATTGGTGGTATGTTTGAATCATGTGAAATTAATACAAAATTATTAAATATGAGACGTCCATGTCGTTTTAATTTAGATTCAAGTGGTCCATGTAATTTAAAAAATGGTTATGGTTATTATGAAGGTAAACCATGTTTTATTATTAAATTAAATCGAATTTATGGTTGGTTACCAATACCTATAAATAATTATACTAATATATTACTTAAATGTGAAGGTTTAACAAAACTTGATTCAGATTATTTAGGTAAAATATGTTATTATGATAGTGATTCATTAAAACAATATCATTCATTAAATAATGATATAGATTGGTGTAATAAAAATTATGGTATTTATGATTCAATGTTTTATCCTTATTTAAATCAAGCTGGTTATCAATCACCATTAGTATTTGTACATTTTATTAATCCTAAACGTCATGTTATTATATGGATAAAATGTTATGCATTAGCTAAAAATATTCATGTTAATATTCATTCAAATGAAGGTTCTATTGTATTTCAAATACTCGTTGATTAGTTTCTAATACAACATACAATTTCATTCATTCATGTTTGGTTGTTTAAATGTAATTCAATATTCATTTTCATATTGAAAAAAAGAGTAGACAAACAAATAAACAACAGACTATTCAATCTTATAAAATCAGCTAATTATATATAAAAAAAAACCCCATTTAAACATTCATATGAAAACAAGATTGGTTCCAATTGAAAATAAAACCTGTAATTCATGTAATTGAAAACATTTCATACAGTTTTTTTTGTGCTCCTGTTTTCACAATTTATTTTTATTGTTGTTGCTATCGTTATTGTTCTAATTGACAAATTGTCTGAATGTAATAATAATAATTATTATTATTATTATCATTGTTATGAAGTGTAATATATTGAACATTCCATGTACTTATTAGAATAACTATTTATTCTATTCATTAAAAATTCAGTAGTTTATTAAAATAATAAAATTTTTTTGAGTTATTTTTTTTTGGTTGTTTTTGCCTTGAACATTTAAACAAATGGTTATGTTCAATGTACAATGTATGTTTTTTTTCGTTTTGTAAGAGTAATATATATATATATATATATATATATATATATATATATATATCATTTGATTTTAAACAACAAAAAAACAGTATCATGAATGAAAGAATTAACTAATTTACATAATTATTATTAGAAAAAAAAAAGAGTAATTTTTTGCTTTGTTTGTTTGTTTATCATTGTTTCATTTGAAAATTATGAATATTGGTGAATAGGGAAGCAACATCTAAAAAATATCATCTATTTCTCATTTAAGTTTATATCTTCCATTTTAGAAATAAAATCAAAGACGTCTTTCACACTTCTATTGACGACTAATTTATGTAAGGGATTTAAAATTCGAACTAGCCACTTTACAGTTTTATGATAAGGTGAATTATACATATTTAGAATTGGGCGAAGAGAAAGACCTGTCTTGTGAATTTTAGGTAAACCATATAGGAATATATATCATATACTATCTTATTACTATCAAACTATTGTAATGAATATGTGAATATAGGAATATTTCAAATTATGAATATACAATTCGTACTGGATGATTTTCTTTCTTTATATTCAACTCTTCGATTGTTTAATTAATCTCTGGTAGTCATTTTGCTATTCTACTGTTATGTAATGTAAATTTATAATAACCATATTGTTCGTACTTAGTAATATCATTAAATGATAACAAAATTATTTGTTATTGATAATATGGAAACTAGCAGATAATTGATTTGGAATACATTAAAATCCGACTATAATCTTATAATCTATGTCTTTCTTACATTTCTTAAATGAAATGTATCACTACTCATATTGATAAATATCTTTATCTTAAATTATATACAACAATTCAGTAGTATAATCAATGTCGCTTAATTAAGTTATTCATCACTGTACTCATTGTTAATAAGTTGTGCTTCTCATAAAGCTACGACTAGTTTGTATTTATCGATGTACAGATATAGTGTTTTCATTATAAAGCATTTTAAATGACTATAACAAGAGTTATATCTCTAATAGTTGAGATGATGAGATAATTGAATCTAGACCATTTTGGAAAACTTGAAAACTTTAAACGATCGTTTTGTCCCCGCGGGATTTGAACCCAGGATCTATCAGTCTTGCGTGCGAACGCTCAACCTCTAGACCATTTTCTTTTTTATGTTTGTCTATATTCGAGAAAGGTTTTGTGTGAATACATGTGACATGTTTTGTTTTTCAGGGCATCTGTTGACCTCTCGATAGATATCATTACAAATCAGTTGTCAAGCTGAATTTTACTGTTTAAGTATGGCACCTAGAATTTCTGTAAAATATTTTCACCCATGCTAACATACAAATTAACGATTGAACTAATGGTTTATTTGACTAGCCAAGTTAATAGATAAAGAAACACAGTAAACAACTAGTACGAAATTTGCTCACATAAGCAACTGATTCAATGTACTGAGCACTTTTCGACTTGAGGAGAATATTATTCAATCCATTCTATGAAATATGAATTTCGAAGTCCTTCAACTATACGTAATGACAAATATTTTCAATAATAAAATCTAAGCATAAGCTTTATAAGAGATCTCTCTTTTACGTTTCCTGGAGAACACTTAACCCATAAATGGAGAAGAATATCTAGTAGATAGTGACTAAAACAATGGTAAGAGAAAATTACACAGAAACGACAAACAAACAAAATATAGTCGTTTTTCATATTTGACTAAACGCCAAATTCGATAAATCACTTAGTACAATAGATGGAATGTGATTATTAGTGAAATCTGAAATGTTTTTTTCTTCTCTACTTAGGACTTATAAGCTGCTAGCTATTCTGAAAATTGGCTATAATGAGACAATCAGCGAAGGATACATATATTATCAATTAAAACTGATCTGAGGTGGTGGTTGTAGGTAGTCGACAAGGAACCCTAGGTTTCGTGTTATTTGTCACTCGTCAGCAATGTATGCATGTAATCTTGGGGAAACTGATGCTTCCCTGACGGATTCAATCTCATATCACCATAATTCACAGTCAGGGGATTTAAAATTGACCTCTACTAAGCAGAACATAACACATATGACATTGGTCACTATACAATGATCATTTAATTGTAAGAATGACCTAAATTCAGTCACGAATTTCAATTATGGGATAACTCAGTAAATTACAAACTAAACTAAGAAAACGTGTTATGAATCAGGTAGAATGACAGTTTGTATATTTAAACGTGAAAAATACGATGAAAATATTTACGACTGAATTGCTTCACAGAATTATTTGCATCTAGTGCTAGTAATTTAATAACGATATCATATAACTAAATATGCCACTTTTGTTTCCAGTTTGACTGTTAACTCAGCATTAAACCTTAAAACGTGTATGTTTTATTTTGTGTTGTATTTAAATTAATAGCACCATCACCAACACCATAGATTGATTTTAATTTTCAAGATGCGCGATTTCACCAATCAGTTCAAATTTGACAATGAATACCATCAACTAATGGTTTAAAATTCAAAAAGTTAAGCTTTTTCCGTGAGATCTGATGATCCTAGTTTCAATCAACGAAAGATTCTCGAATGCTTTCTTCCAAAGAATGTCATACCAAGATGAAATAGCGACCAAATGCTTTATAGTTTCCAGTAGTTGTCTAACAGAAACCATTTCATGATGTAAACTAAGAAGTTCAACCAACATTATAGATCTTCGGGAGTTTTATTTTCGTCCCTTGAAGTAATAATTTACAATGTCCATGCATTCATTTGTAAAGTGATCAAACAATACTGCCCATTGCTATTTATATCATCTATGTATTAGATAGCTACAATTTGACGTCAGTGTAGGACGATTAGGAGAGATAGAGAGAAATAAATATTTAAAATTACTAAATACATTATCAGAAAGCTGTTTAGTTTTCTGTTTTGTTCAAATTTTGATTTTGTCCTTGTACTCAGTGAAACCTGAAGGTAATTTTTTTATATCAAGAAAATATTATTGTCGTTATGTCATCTAGTATAAATAAGTGTAAGTCATAGGAATGACTACAATTCGGTTTACATTTAAACAGCATTAATTAAAAGATATGAATAAGAATTTATAAAAAATTTTATGTTTGACAAAACTTACTCATTGACAGGTTTGTATTTATATTTATACGTGCATACGTATATGTGTGAGTAGGTTGGAGAATGATGGTCGGCGGCCTATGCTCCATTAGGAGTAACAGGCGTAAGTAAATAAGTAAGTATTGTCAAAAACATTAAACCATTGCATTTTCAAAATACAATGTTACTAGTTTATTTATTTGAATAATTAACGGTTTAATTCACTTGATATTGTTTTACTTGAATCTTCCCATTGATGTTTTAGGACTGAAATTGATCAGTCCCCATTGCACAAGCAAGTGAGTATCAGGACTTAATAGCTAAGTGGATAACGCGATGGCGTTTGAAGCGAACGATACTGAATTCGAGTTCCAGAGTGAACATCAACTCTGAGATGCATGTACATCCAGCTGATGAGTCCCAAACAGGATATAATGTGCGTCCTGGATTCCACTGCTATCCGCTATCCATCTTTGCTTATAATTAACGGTTTGTCTAAATATGAAAACATTTGTAATAAACTGGTGGTTTTCAGAGGCCACACCCTACTAGAGCCGGTGGATATTTACAGTCAGTTTGAGTACAACAGCATTAAATTAGAAAACAAGGAAATTTTTTTTACAAAATCAACAGATTTTACTCTTACCAACATACGTTAACAGAATTAAAATCAAATTGACTCGCTGAGCGATCAAAAATACTCTTGAATATAACTCAAAGATTTGTAATGAAATCGATAGTTATCGATAAAATAATTTCATTTGAGCAGTTTCAGTGGTTGAATGGTATTCATTTCAGTAGTGTGACGATGATCGATAACAAGATTGGTTGACAGTCTGTCTGTATCATGAGTTACTTAAAGTTGGAAATGGGAACTATCAATCTTAGACTCAATGATATAAAAAATTATTTCATCAGAATGCCGTTGGATGCGATCCCATATGAGATCTTTAGTGTACACAATTGAAGAATCTCAAACTAGGTGACAATAACTTTCTAGTTCTGTGTTATCTTAAAGTCACGACATACTTAGCTACGCCTGTTGCCCCTCGTGGAAGAGCATAGGCCGTCTACTAGCACTCTCCATCCAACTCTGTCCAGGACAATACTTTCCAGTTCATTCCAGTTGCTATTCACCCTTCTTATGTCTGCTTTCGATTCCCGACGCAACGTGTTCTTCGGTCTTCCGCTTTTCTGCTTCTCTTCAGGATTTCAAGTTAGGGCGTGCCTCGTGATGCAGTTTGATGATTTCTGTAATGTATGGATGGATGTTGATTTGCTCTCTGCTACAGTAGGCGGTTGCTGATGGTATCCGGTCAACGAACATTCAGTATGTTGCGTAGACAGTTGTTCATAATTATGTTTACTTGTTTAATGATGGTTGTG